ACTGCCCGGTGTGGGGATATGGCGTCGCTGAGACTGAGGTCACCAGCTGCCCTTTCTCTTGCAGGTACAGCCTGTCGTACATCCCGTATGCAAGGTGAGCTTGTTTGAGTCCCTCCCCTGTCTGGTCCTCCCGTTAGCGTTGCAGAAATACATCCGTTTTAGTAATTTTTACATTAAATTGTGACTTAAAGGCTGACTTTCCTCCCACAAGGAAACGATGTTCTAAGTGGGATGAATAGAGAGAAGTTTGTCGAGGGGGCGCCATTGTGAACGTGTCAGCGGGGAGGCTGGGGACCGACTCCTGCTCCGTCGGGCGCCTGGGCCTTTGCTGCCAGGAACTTGGACGAGAGCTTCTGGATCCTTCCACAACTGCAGATATTCACTAGATAGGCCGTGGGGACTCCAGCAAAACAGATTCTTCTCTTTAAAGGGAAGTTGGTGAAAAAGTGAGTCTGACACGTGAGTGCTGTCTGAGCAGTAGCATGTGTCTGTCCTGTGGGGCGGAGGTAGCTGCCCCTGGACTTGCCCAGAAAGCGCACTTGCTGTCGTGGGGGGACGCACTGCTGAGCCGTCGGACGGTCAGGAAAGCGCTGGAGGCACAGCTTTGCCTCCTGGCAAACTGGGAAGCAGGTTGTATGTGAGAACAGCCAAGGTGGAGCCTGGTGAGAGCAGCGAAGGGAGCGGGTAGAGCGGCCCCTGCTGGAGGCAGATTCTGACCTGGTTTCCCCTCCCCCAGGGACGCCGTCATGAAATGCTGTTCTTCTCTCCTGAGTTGAAGACCAGAACCTCTTGGCAGAGCGTCTGGGAGTTGCCGTTGGTTTGGGGAGTGTGTTTTCCTGAGCCGGTGACCGCCCCTCCCCCCGTGGCCGTTCAGGGCCGCGTGCACCGTGGAACCCGCGGCGAGTGAACTGTGATGCTCCCACCACTAGGTCCCGCCATTCATTGCTCTTCCCCACGGAGGCTAATCCCCCCGACTGTGAATGATCTGTAGCGTTTTCTAATCCTTCCTAAACAGCATTTGATTGTGAATGTCCAGGGATAAGTCTCCGCTGCATGAACTTTGTTGGCTTTTCTAAAATGTCAAGATTTAAAAATACTTTAAATGTGAAAGTTTTTACTTTAAACTAAGAATCGCTTATCATATGTAATAAAAATAATATATAAATCTTTACAATTTTAAAATAAGCCCATTGTTGGATCAAATTTATAACCTTTTAAGTGGGCGGAGCCTTGATTCAGTTGAGTGAAACTCCGTGAGGTTTCTCCGGAGACGTCTCTGTCCTAACCGCTGCCGAGCACATTTACGAGTGTGTCCTTCCGGGGTCCCCTGATCCCAGCAGGCAGGGGGTCCAGGAGGGTCCAGGTGTGCGGGTGGGGAGAGCCGACAGCAAGTCGGGCAGGTGAGGGACCAGCCACTGGCAACCCAGGAGCCTGCTGGGGGGAGAGGGGAGGGCCAGAGCCTGGTGGGGAAGCAGGTAGCGGCTTGGGATTATCACCAAGGGAGGCCCTGGAAGGGACCAGGCAGGTCCCCGCCGCCCAGAGAACTGCAGGGAGGGGAGGAGACGCCCTGCTGACCCTGCAGCTTTGACCCTGGGTCCATGGGCAAGCCTCTGGGCCGGGGGCCCTCAGGCTGTGCTCCCAGGAAATGGTGCTTGACCCCTTCCCGCCTCATCTCCAGTCCCCCCCTCCTGACAAAGCTCCCCCACTGCTTACGCACCCGGAGCAAATGCAGCGCTTCCAGAGCCTGGAGAGGCCTCGGGTGGCCTGGGCTGTCCCACACTCACCTGAGCAGCAGCTGCCCCACCCCACCCCCATGGGACAGGGAGAATTAGTGAGGGCTGCAAGCTGCGTTTGCACTGGGAGAATGTGTGAGTGTGGGATGGTTTGGGGGTGCTGGCGATCAGGGTGCTAAACCTTCCCCTCTCCCAGCCCTTCCCCGCTGTGGCGCGAGGTTCTTGCCTGTGTCCTGGCCCAGTAGCCACCTCGCTGGAACACACGGAGTCGGGGTGCAGTGGGTCGGGGTGCAGTGGGCAGCCGGGGGCTGGAGGGTGCCCTGCCCCCAGGACTGCTGGCTCTGGCACATCTGAGTTCCCCACCTCTGAACGCTGTTAGCTCCCCTGGCCACAGCCAGCTCCTGCCCAGTGAGCCCAGAAAGCGCGGCCTGTGGGGACCTGTGTTTGGAGACTGACCACTGACTGTTCTTAGGTAACCAGGGCTGCTGACCTGAGGCTGACTTGTAAAATATCTGTATTTTTATTGATTTCAGAGAGGAACTGGGGGAGAGAGACACCAATGATGATCATCAATCCACTGCCTCCCGCACCCCCCACTGGGAATCCACCCTGACCTCTTGGAGGGGGGGCGGGGGGGGGGGGCTGAAACTGACTTTCTGAAGCATCGCCTTGTAATTGCTCAGGTGCTCCCCCCCAAACTGGAAGGTAAGTTGGCGGGAGCTGCCTTCACTGAGCCACTGCTATGGGGCCATATCGCCTTCACACGGGACCGCGCAGGGAAAGAACTCAAGTCTGCTCACGGCTTCCTTTACCATCACGTGACTGAAACGACATCCCCAGGGAGCTCGAAATGACCGTGTCCAACAGTAAACAGCGACCCGCCACGATGCCTGTTCCCGCTGGTGTCCCTGCGGCCTTCCCGGGGTCCCTGCGGTCTTCCGGGGGTCCCTGCGGCCTCCCTGCGGCCTCCCCGGGGTCCCTGAGTCCTTCCCGGGGGTCCCTGCGGCCTCCCCGGGGTCTCTGAGTCCTTCCCGGGGGGTCCCTGCGGCCTCCCCAGGGTCTCTGCGTACTCCTGGGGGTCCCTACGGCCTCCCCGGGTCCCTGCAGCGACCTTCGCAGCGCGCTAGGCTGGGGGCTTGTGGAGGATTCTCCCCGACG